CAACGTGAGTTGTTTTCTATTAGTTTTTTTATCCGCTTAATTTGAATGACGGAGAAGTTAGCATAATATGGTGATTTGCATTGAGCATCAAAATTTGATTCACCAACTCTGGTAGCAATAAATCTTTCATTGAAAAATGCAAGCAGTGCTGGCATTGATAAATATGTGTGATCATGATGCATGACAAACTTTACTGGCATCTACAGAGTTAACGCGATGAGAATTGATGATCTATTTGTTTATTCTCATAATTTATCTGAATACGGTTTGCATACTGTGGAGGTAGACGTATGTTATTCTTCAGGTTTTTTTGATTCATAGCAAAATATTTTCATTCGAAAGTGAAATGAAGTAATCCTGGATACTGGAAGATCTTCCTCCCCCTATACGTTTTAAGTCTTTCCTGTTTGTATTGGTCCAGGTCTTAATTGGTCCTCGCTTTTGACACGATCCATCGTAGCGTTTAACAAATAAGAAATATGACAGATAAAAACAAATAAGAAAAAGAAGAATGTGCCCCAACCAAGGAAGGCGATGCCCTGTGATAAAAATATTAATGCGAGTGGTATTTGAGCAAAGGTGGATGCAATCATGTGCGATTTTATCCGCCCGGTCGATCCATAAGATATATCTTAAACATGAGATAAGTTCTCTGCGGAACTTCAACTGCTAACGAACTCTCTACCGAAATATGGTTTGGTCAATAATCGGTGAAGAATGGAATGCTAGCGTAAGTCATAATGCCATTGCGATGACTTCATCAAATTGGCAAATATGGCATTGGAGACCGGTGCCCCAGTGGGGAACGCCTTCTTCCCGAATAACCAACGTTTCAACCAGATTGATTATTCTTAGTCAGTGGGAGAGTTCCGTACTAGATAGTCGATCCTGTCGCGGGGGTGGGTGAAATGGGCAATCTTCATGGATCTGACCATGTTATGATTCGAGCTACGATTCACATAAAATTGACAACTCACAGAAAAATAGAATTCCCCAAAATTCTTCAATTATCTCAAACTAAAAAGAACTGCGAATTGCAAACTGAATTATTCAGTGGTACAAAAATCAGTGACTTATACGGAACGGCAAATGAATAATGGTCAAAATTCAAAACTCAAGAAATCTCTCAGAAATTTAGCCATTTCCATACTAGTAGAAAATAACCTAGTTGGGTATCGGAAGGGGCTGTCCAATTGTCTGAAAAAGAGGCCAAAGCACGAATGTTAGGTGATCCTGACTACCGGATGTTTCGAAGATTTTCAACGAAAGTAGCACGGTTGGATAGAAGTCATTGTTGGAGTGATATGGCCTTGAGAATAGAGACGGCGGCTCGACTGGGCAATAATAGGAAGCTATTCCGCCTTTCACAACTATAACTCGGAGAACAATCAGTGATATGGTAAGGGACGGCAATACGGCGGTGCCAGTTGCCAGTAAAGAGTATTAAGGACCGCCTCATAGTGCCAGTTGCCAGTTGCCAGTTAAGAGTATTAAGGACCGCCTCATAAGATGAAAGAATTCTTTGAGGCCAAAGTTAACCATGAAATGCCATCTGTTCACCCTGATATAAGTTATACGTTCGCTGAACCATACGCGAGCCTCCGAGAGAAGAAAAAATAATATCTGTTATCCATTAGCTTAAGATCAATAAGACTCCAGAAGAAGATGGTCTTCGGGCTGAACTCTTTAAATCATCATCCATCGTCCTTCATAACGCACTTTCAACAAATTTATTCTCTTATGTGGAAGAAAGAAATATTATCAGATGATTGGCGCAAATCAATTCTGCTCTCAATTCCCAAGAAAGATGGCAAGACGTACTGAAGAATCATCCTACTAGACGAAAATTTCAGTGAAAATTTTTGCTTCCCTTTTACTCAACAGAATTATGGAGACAGCAGGATGACTAGTGTCCATTAAGGTTGTGTCCTTTCTCAATATTCAATTATGCGATAGACTGGGTAATGGACACGCTTATCGACACTCAAGAGGAGTTCAAATTGGTCCAGAGCATCGATTTTTGAATACGCTGATGATGTACTTTTTGTTGATGAAATGAAATGCAAATAATGCTAAATAAGTATCAGAAACTACAGTGGGAATCGAACTCATGGTTAATGTACGTCTTATACAAGAAGCTGATAAAATGCCTTTTATGAACTCGTTACCGGCTGAAGAAATGTTCGACTTTAAATATAAGGCGGATAACGGCAGCTGGCAATGCGTTCTTCCAATTGACGAATCCGGAACGGTATTGAAATTAGCAATTAAAAACGAAAGTCCGCACCATATAGCCATGATTCGTTCGATCTTGCTATATGGCTCTGAGAATTGGCGAATTAGAGTGAAGGATATTAAGAAGTTATCCGCTTTTGACCACTCTTCTCTAAGGTATATTTTATTTTACGTCGAACGGATAAAATATCACTTGATCATATCCCCTTTCATTAATACCACCTGCATCAATAATTTTATCACAGAGCATCGCCTTTGCTGGTTAAGGCACGTTCTCCATCGTTCATCACAGGATTTCATGCATATTTCGTTTCTTGCTAAATCCTGTGGTGGGTGGCATCAAAAGCGAGTTTGGCCAATCAAGACCTGGATTGATACGGTCAAAAATGATTTTGAACGTATAGATGAATGAACGATATATGGATTTAGACGATGGAAAAAAGAGTGGCTTCTATTACCGTCGACGATGACATCAAATTGCGACAGTTGGAGGCATCTTGTAGCCGCTGAAGCCGGTCTAACCAGTAATGGTGAAAGCTGTTAGAAGAAAGACATCGAGAGGTCAAAGGCTACATAGCCTCTTAATATCCTCCAATGTTATTCGCCATATCTCGCAACCATAAAACAAAACTGATCAATTCGTTATTTTTTAGACGTGGGTTTTCCTTTTGATGTCTTTGATGGCTTTGATGGCGATGTCTTCATAAAGGTTTCACCATTCAGCAGATTGCATTTCCAGATACCCTTATCCCGGCTGTAATTTCGTCTTTTGCTTGGCCATTCTATATTAGAATTGATCCAAGATATTCGAAGTCTGACATTTTCTTTTATATGTAAGGCGAAAGTCCATCTTGTTTATATTTATCTTCATTCCAATTCTTTCTACGCTTGTTGACATATTGTATAGCATTATTTGCTTTTCGTAATTACCAGCGGGAAGTCTACATCAGCATATTCAGTTTCTATAATAGTCCTATCTGTCGCATAGTTAAATATTATAGGGAAAAAGGTGTAGTTTTGATAGCCAGTTCTTATCTCAGAGGAGTTCCCTATATATACAGACTTGCGCCGACGTTCTCTGGCAAAAATGCTTTTGTGAATCGAATGATCTCTGGATCACCGTTGAGTTCCATCACCATTCAAAACGCCGTTCTATTGGTTGAATCGAAAGAAGAAATCGATGAAAACGTGATAGAGAATTGGCGATATTTGAAGCGATATTCTAACTCATTTCTTAACATGAATATCTGATCAACGCAGTCGCGCCCCAGTCTGAATCCTTCGTGGGTAAGGTAACGTACCCGTACTGTCATAAATCTACCAAGTAAAGTGGAAACATTTTACCTGAAATTTACTATTTACTGATCTATTTACTGATCCAAATTTACTATTTACTGATCTATTTACTGATCTATTTACTGATCCTTCGATAATTGTTATAATACGTTCTGTCATCTTTCAATGGGAACTGTGAGCAAAATTGTTTTGCAGTCATCTGGTTTTATTTCGCACAATTGCAAACATATGGTTCGATGAATGTATTAGCTATGTTCAATTTAACAGAAGGCGCATCATAATTTGCCTTTAAAGAATTCCTTCCATCTTATGAGACGATCCTTAATAGCCTTAATAGACACACCATTATTACCCCGTATCATTTTATCGATCAATCTCGAATTATACTTGTTTTGTAAAGGAGGAGGAATAATTTCCTGTTATCGCCTGATTATGCCGCCATCTCCATTAAAAGCCATATCACTCCAGTAATGATTTCTGTTATGCCAAGCTGCTGTCGTTGTAATTTAACCTATAGTCAGGATCTTCTGACATTTATGCTTTGACATTTCAGACTGTTCGATGATTTCTTCCGTAACCCAGTTAGTGTAATCCCTACATTCTTGAATGGAATTGGCTGACTTCTGGAGACATGCCTTTAGTTGGAACCACTATCTGTAGTTTCAGAGATATTACTGCTATCTATATCATTAAGGTGTTTCAATATATCGATTTGAAATGTGCTATTTCTTCATGAATCTTTTAATTTAAAATAGTTGAAAGATCTTGGGACACAATTCTTGTCAGTTTTATGCGAATCTTGGGCCAAACTATAAGATGGTCTGATTCATGAAGTTGTAATTTTAGTGCTTCGATAGGACTGATGTATAGTACGGAACTCTTCCAATGTTGACTTAGATATAATCAGTCTGATTGGAATATTGGGCTATGGATTCCACGTGAATAGATATTTTCTCTGATGCCGGTAATGAATTTGGCAAAATATGAATTTTGATCATAAAATATATGCAAAATTTAATTATTTTTAATTCTTTTAATATTTAAAATTTAAAGGAACATAGCTCAATTGTTTGCAGCAGATTTTTAAGTCCCAGAAGTAATTAGGTGGTATTATAGTAGAAAGGATATCAAATAATCCAATATGTTGTTTTTTCAGATCAGCTGATGAAAAAACAAGAAGGAATGACGAATTAGCAACAGCAATCTTGAAAGAAAAAATAAAGCCATATCGTCTCATCGTCGATCAATCTGTGAATGATGATAATTCAGTCATTGCTCTCTCTCAGGTTCAGTTTTAAATTTTCTTTGATATTTTCTCAAATTTATTGTTGCGTTAACCTATGAATAATTCAATAAATCAAATAGTTTTTTGCAAATTTTTAGATTTCTTGCAGATTTTCACACAATATTGTTTCATATAATTCAATAATTTCAAAATTTTTTATCTTTATTTTTTTTTTCAGGCAAAAATGGACGAACTTGGACTGTTTCGTGGTGATACGGTTCTTTTAAAAGGAAAAAAACGCAAAGAAACGGTATGCATAGTGCTTGCAGATGAAACCTGTCCCAATGATAGAATCCGTATGAATCGTGTGGTTCGTAACAATTTGCGAGTTCGGCTTGGTGATATTGTTAGGTTATTTTTTCTTCCTTTTTTTCATTTTATTACATGTGAAAGTGTATCAGTCTTTGCAAAATGTGTAGATATATCCATGAAAAATTTTTTATTTTTTCTTTGTAAAATTTTTCGAAGAAAAAAAATTAATCCGCAATTTGTAATTTCGCTAGTGTTATTTTCTATTCATTCCATTACTATTTTTTATTTCCTTTGTAGTGTTCATCCGGCACCAAATATAAGCTATGGCAAGCGAGTTCATGTATTACCTCTTGATGATACGATTGTTGGATTGAGCGGGTAAGTCCTTTTAATTATTTCTTTCAGTAAATTTTCGAAAATGGTGCTATGATGATGCGTGCAGGGGTCCTGAAACCAGTCAAAATGTGAACTGGTGATATAGAGATAAAAGCTTGAACGGTTAAGCTTTTCCTCTGTTCAGAGTATTGCCCGAACTGAGCATTTTTAAATTTGTGCAGTTTTACAATTTGTTTCATATACGTATTTTTTCATTGCCTATTTTAAGCAATATCTTTGAAGTATTCTTGAAACCATATTTTGTTGAATCTTATCGGCCGGTGCATAAAGGCGATCTTTTTTCTGTGAATGCAGCGATGCGTAACGTGGAATTCAAGGTTTTTTTTATGAGGCATATATTAGTATATATTATGATAACTTGAAGAAGTTTCCAAAAATTATTTCAATCCGCAGGTAATTGAAACTGATCCATCTCCATCATGTATCGTTGCACCTGATACAATAATTCACTGCGATGGTGAACCTGTCAAACGAGAGGAAGAGGAGGAAAATCTGGCTGATGTGGGATACGACGATATAGGTGGTGCAAGAAAACAGTTGGCTCAAATCAAAGAAATGGTTGAACTGCCACTTAGGCATCCTCAACTTTTCAAGGCTATTGGCATAAAGGTTTCGGATAAATTTTTTGTGTTTTGTTGTTTTTTGAGTTTTATCAATATCAATCCAGAATTTTTTAGCCCCCGCGCGGTATTCTTCTTTTTGGTCCTCCTGGCACAGGTAAAACATTGATTGCTCGTGCCGTTGCTAATGAAACCGGAGCCTTCTTTTTTCTGCTAAATGGTATGCTTTTTGTTTTGCATGATTGGTCTATCATTCGTCAAGGTTTTCGAAATAGTTTTTATGATAAAATATTAAGGTCCGGAAATTATGAGCAAACTTGCTGGTGAATCCGAATCAAATTTACGAAAAGCATTTGAAGAATGTGAGAAAAATTCACCTGCTATATTATTCATAGATGAGCTCGATGCTATCGCTCCTAAGCGGGAAAAAGTTAGTGACTTGGAAATCCTCACGCTTGATAAAGTGTCACATTCTAAATAAATTTTTTTAAGCTATATTTTATTTCTCGCGAAATAATTTCAGACTCATGGTGAAGTTGAGCGAAGAATTGTTTCTCAATTGTTGACATTGATGGACGGTCTTAAACAACGTAGTCACGTTGTAGTAATGGCGGCAACAAATCGTCCTAATTCCATCGACCCTGCCCTCCGTCGTTTTGGCCGATTTGACCGTGAGATCGACATTGGTATTCCAGATGCAATAGGGCGCTTAGAGATTTTACGGATTCATACCAAAAATATGCGACTCGCTAATGACGTTGACCTCGAACAGGTTATTCTTTTGGTTTTTAAATAAATTTCATTTCTGTTACGTTGTCATTTATGTGCGAAAAATTTTTATTTTTATATGTGATTATGATGGCAAACTCTCCTTTCAGAAATTAGTAATTTTGAATATTTAAACACAACATTAAAATTTTAATAGAAAATTGTAAATTATAAATTTTAATTATCGAGGTACAAGAAGGCGATGAAAAGGTAATTCGTTCATCGTTGATACAAATCTCGGAAATCAAATGAGGCAGTGCGAACAGAGCTATTCAGAATCATATTTTGAATTGGTTTACTGCCTACTGCAAACATTTTTATTTATTTTTTTTCACTGATTTTTGACCAATTCAATTTCGATCCGTGAGCTGTTTTAATATTTTAGATCGCAAATGAATGTCATGGTTATGTAGGAGCTGACATTGCATCATTGTGCTCCGAAGCAGCTCTACAACAAATACGAGAGAAAATGGAACTTATCGATTTGGAAGACGAATCAATTGATGCAGAAGTTTTAAATTCTCTAGCAGTCACAATGGAAAACTTTCGGGTTAAAAATTTTTGTTTTTTTCCATTAATTTGAAAAATAAAAAATACATTTTGTTTTAAAGTATTTTAGTTTGCCATGGGAAAGAGTAGTCCATCAGCTTTACGTGAAACGACAGTGGAAACACCAAACGTTAGTTGGGATGACATTGGTGGTCTGCAAGGTGTGAAAAGGGAATTGCAAGAACTTGTTCAGGTGGCGTATATATTATGATTTATTTTATTTTATATTCAAAATTATCCAGATTGTCTTTGGTTCATTAGAAAACTAAAATATAGGATAAAAATATAGTTTAAAAAATATAGAGATTAAAAAAGATAAAAGATATTTAAATTAAATGAAGTTTTTTTGCAGTATCCTGTGGAACATCCAGAGAAATATCTTAAGTTCGGTATGCAACCTTCTCGTGGTGTGTTATTCTATGGTCCTCCTGGTTGTGGTAAGACTCTCCTGGCTAAAGCTATTGCTCATGAATGCCAGGCGAATTTCATTTCGATCAAGGGGCCAGAGCTCTTAACAATGTGGTTTGGTGAATCTGAAGCTAACGTTCGCGATGTGTTTGATAAAGTATTTATTTACACAAATTTTTGGAAAAAATTTAAATGTTTTTATGTCAAAATGTCAGAATTTTTATTGATTTTGCAGGCGCGTGCTGCGGCACCATGCGTGCTTTTTTTTGATGAATTGGATTCGGTAGCGAAAGCTCGTGGTGGTAGTCTTGGAGATGCTGGTGGAGCTGCAGATCGAGTCATAAATCAGATTTTGACTGAGATGGATGGCATGTCTAATAAGAAAAACGTTTTCATTATCGGTGCTACCAACAGGTAATTAGATTGATCTTAAGTGATAAATTTTTTTTATCTATATGGGTCTATTTTAGGGCTTTCTTAGCTCAGATTCTTCTAGAGATTGGATTGAAATCGGATTAGTAAGAAATAATGGCAAAAAGTTTCAGACCTGATATTATTGATCCCGCAATATTGCGTCCAGGTCGACTCGACCAATTAATTTATATTCCATTACCGGATGAAGCTAGTCGTCTTCAAATTTTCAAAGCTAATCTTCGTAAAACTCCTATTGCATTGGTTATTTTTTGATCATTAATATGTTTTTCTTGTATGATTCACAGTATCTTTTAACTGCACCATTCTTTTCAGTCAGTGGATTTGTCATTTTTGGCGAAAAGCACAGTTGGTTTTTCTGGAGCAGATATTACAGAAATTTGTCAGCGGTCTTGCAAGTTGGCCATAAGAGAAAGTATTGAGAAGGAAATACGGTACGAAAAAGAAAAACAAGAACGGCGAGCTAGAGGGGAGGAACTAATGGACGATGAACCGTATGATCCTGTTCCGGAAATTACAAGGGCGCATTTTGAGGAGGTTTATTTATTGCATTTTGGTTTTTAAGGAACATAGTGCAAATTCATCAAAAGGTTTTTCAATCAATAATAGTGTTAAATTTTTTCTTAGGCTATGAAATTCGCTCGAAGATCAGTATCGGACAATGATATCCGTAAATATGAAATGTTTGCACAGACACTTCAACAGCAACGTGGATTTGGGAGTAATTTCAAGTCAGTTGATTTCATCTTGATTTCAATAGTTTTATCGAAAATGGACTGTGGAGCGTACCCGTTATTATTTTGTAAACAAGTTTTCAAATTACCTTTTTTAGGTTTCCCAATCAGGTTTCTGATCCTAGCGATAATCCTGCGGGTTCTTCTGGGAACAACGAAGATGATGACTTATACAGTTAAAGAAAGGTGGTTTTTTCATTTTCCCGGCAATAATTGATTATTTAAATATTAATGTTTTTCTTCATGCATAAAATATTTGACTTTGTTTGTTCTTTTGGGAGTTCAAAACCCTTATTTTCAAAAAAAGAATTATTCTTCTTATTTATGTTGTTACAGGTCACTGAATGCAGGATTCAGAAAAAATATTTATTCTGTTTTTTGTTTCTTTCATTGCTAAATTTTTATAAGAGTTAAAAAAAATTTTAAGAACACTGTGTAAGCAGATTTTTTTGCATAATGCGATGTGTTATGTTAATTATTATAGTTAAATTATTGCAATATAGTCAAATTAATTATAAAAGCGTATTTTCGAGTTTTACCTAATTAAGTAAGCGCATATATCTTTCAATAGTTTTATCATATTGTTATTTTTTTGCAAATGATTTATTGAATTTGGTGATTTGATTTATTGAAAATATGCCTTGTTTGAATGTTTTTTTAACTAACGCATTTCTATATTTCCCTTATTAAATTTTATAAGTCGAAAATTTTTATTTTCAAATGAATAAAATTTTTATCAACGATATTTGGCATGTTTCAAAAGTTTTTGAGAATATTTTGGTGATCCGTTAATTGTTTTGCATTTTCTTGCGGTGAACTACGACATCAGTTGAGCAGTGCGAGGTACTGTTGGAAGGTGAACGTTACTTAAATGCTGGTACTTCTAGGCCTTGTTTTCCATCCGTTCGTTGAGTGTATCGGTCGGCTGTTGCGTACTTTCCGATTAATTGAGTGCTGCAAAGTAGTAATTTATGCTGAAGCTTTTTGGTAGAGAGCGATGATTATATATGGTATATGAGGATTGGTTTGTTGTGTTTGAGGTGACAGGGTTTGGGTTTAATTGGTAGCGATTTATCTGAGTGTTTTTTGGGTTTCGTAGCTTCTCTCGTAAAATGGGTCCGCGGTGCGATGTCTCCGCGTGATGTTGGGAGAGTTTTTTTTGCTTTTTTTCTTTAAATATGTAAAACTCAGAAAGATTTTTTGGACTGCTTAAACGTAGTTGGAAAATTTTTAGAGGGTTTTTTATAAAAGTTTTATTAATTGTGTAATTCTTGTAGAATATCGAGAAATTTTTCACAATCATCAATTAAGGGCATTGTGATCGTTGATGTATTAACGAGAAAAGTTCATTCTCTTCGTTTTTCCAACAACACACGCATTATTTTTGGTTCTTTATTTTAGAATGTGGAGACTTTCGATCAATAACGGAACCAATTAAAATTCTTCCTCCACTTTTTCTAATCACCCAGGCTGAATTAGTAGGTTGCTGGACCACTGAGGCGAAAACACGAAGTCTTTCGTTGTTGTTTAAGTTATCAGGTTAATTGATCAGTTTGATGGAGGCTGCTTGATTCAAGGAAAAAATCTGATTAGCAACGCATTGTGGTTTTGTTGTTAATTTATATGGTATCCTTTCGGCGTGTTAAATATAAAATGTTTCTTGATATTTCCATTCTTGGCACACTTGGCGATTTTATGCAGTTGTATAGATATATAACGAACGAACTATATAACGAACTGTGAGGTTTGTAAGCGGGAACGGAAGGAAATAAATTCCTCTAAAGGTGAAGTTTTTTGCTAGGTTTCTTTGCATATTGCTGGCAAAGGTCATTGGACGACGTTGTTCTCGTGGAAATGCGATACATCAAAGGAGGAATGTTTGCTCGTCAGAAAAAAATTTTTTCCATAATTTTTACCCATTTTTATTTGGCGAAAAATTAGTTCAGAAATTAATTAAGAAAAAAATGAATTTATTTTCAAGTTCACAAAATTGAATAGAAAAAATAAAAAATGCTCATTAATGGGGCTCTCCGACGTTTATTATATAGCGCAAGCAATACGCGTTGTCACAAGCGATTACTGGCAAGTACAACTTTCGGAGCTAAAGTAAGCGTGCGTGATGCTTTGGCTGCAACTATCGAGGATGAAATAGAACGAGATGATCGAGTTTTTATTATTGGTGAAGAAGTTGGCCAATACGAAGGTGCATATAAGGTTTGATATTGATGTTTTTTGGTTTTCGAAAGGTATAATTGTTCATTTATCAAAATAAGCATTTCAGCTTATCATATAGCTTTATTTCTCAGATAACGAAAGGACTGTGGAAGAAATATGGTGATGAACGAGTTGTTGACACACCAATCACAGAGATGGGCTTCACCGGATTAGCAGTTGGAGCAGCTATGGCTGGTCTACGTCCCATATGCGAATTTATGACATTTAATTTTTCGATGCAAGCAATTGATCAAATTATCAATAGCGCTGCGAAGACGTATTATATGTCGGCGGGTTTGGTTCGTTGCATTTACTATTGTTTTTAAAGAAATTTTTTACAATTTTTTTATAACCAAGGGTTATCAAATGATACTGCGGGTCACTTTAATTTTCAAAGTTTTTTGAAGGCTTTAAATCTTATCTATTTGTAGATCTCAGTTCCTATCGTGTTTCGTGGACCTAATGGCGCAGCTGCAGGAGTTGCTGCTCAACATAGTCAAGACTTTTCCTCTTGGTTTGCACACTGTCCTGGTCTCAAAGTATGTACATATATATTTTTCTTATATGACTTATTTTTAAGTATCCAGCCAATGTTGCCCACAATTTTCAATAACTTGAATTTTATTATCTGTCAATAATTAAATATAAATAAATGAACAACTAGTATTTCTTGTAGAAATTTAGGGTTTTAAAATAAAATTAATCTTTACATACCAACTTATTTTTTACCTTTCTTTTTCACTTATTATTTTCTCAACTTTTCTTGTTATTTAATGGCTTCTGGAAGGCTAAAGGTGTTAGGAATTTTGATGAGCTCTTTTCCATCATTAATTTAATACATAACCTTTTAATTATTATTTATTCTTGGAAAATCTTATCCTACCAAAAAATGGTATTAAAAAGTTTAGGTTGTAGCACCTTATAGTAGCGAAGATGCCAGAGGTCTACTAAAATCAGCCGTTCGAGATGATAATCCAGGTATTTTAATTGTTATATCGCATCCACTTAAGGTTCACATCTGATTCACCTTATATTTAATGACATTTGCAATGTACATTTCAGTTGTGGTACTTGAAAATGAATTATTATATGCGGAATCTTTCCCAATGTCAGCTGAAGCACAATCAAAAGATTTTCTTGTTCCCTTTGGTAAAGCAAAGATAGAGAGACCAGGGTCGCAAGTCACTGTAGTGGCATACAGTATAAGTGTTCGCGCAGCGCTCAGAGGTGCTGCTGAACTGGAAAAAATAGGCATAGATGTTGAGGTGAATTATATGCATTTAGTTTTCCTTGGCTATTTCCATTAGTTTCGATATGTATGTTATTTTTTAGTTGGTTATTCTTATTATTAGATGGTTATTTTCGGACATAAACATTAGTTTATATTGATTTTCGGACATAAACATTAGTTTATATTGAATTTATATTTTTTATTAAAATGATTTTCTTATATAAAAAATAGTTTTTGCTAAGAATTTTAATGCATAAAAATAAATGAAATTTATTATTTTAGGTTATTAATCTGCGTTCGTTACGGCCCATGGATTTTGATGCCATTAAGCAGTCCTTAATGAAAACTAATCATCTAATAACTATTGACAATGGCTGGCCATGTTGTAATATTGGTGCAGAAATATGTGCTCGGGTATTTTTATATTTTGAATAAAAGGTAATAAAGATAAAAAATAATAAAGAGAACAAAGGCTAAAGTTTCGCTGATTTTTTAAATTTTTTAAGATTTTTTTTTGATGGGCTTTTTTATAAAATGGAAAAAATGAAGTAGCGATTTGTTGAAACAAGCAACTTATTGCTTATTTTTGCCGATTTCTGAATAGACTAATTTTTCTCGATTTTTATAACAATTACATTGGTAAAAGAGAGGTTTCATTTTGTTGAACCTTTACGAATTATCCTAATAATTGTGACAATTATTTCGAATTACCTGTCAGTTTTTTATATTTTTTATTATATTTATATTTTATATTATATTCAGGTTGTCGAATCAGATGCTTTCGATTATTTGGATGGTCCAATACTTCGAATAACAGGAGTAGATGTACCAATGCCATTCGCCGAAAATCTTGAAGCTGCTGCACAACCTTCACCAAAGGACGTAGTCAGAGGCGTGAAGAAAATATTAAATATTAAATAGTATAAATATAGGTTTTTTAAATACTAAGTATTAAGTATTTATCGTGTCGGTGAGTGCATATATATTGTTATTTAAGTCTTTGTCCTGGTTGTTAGATTTCTTTGAAATTTCAAACGTTATTTTTCTTTGATATTCTTTAGATTTGAAATGTAATTTTATTTTTATTTAGCTTTGTCCTAAGAATCCATTTTTTATCAGTAGTGGTCTTCATATATTTTTTTCCTATTTTCCTATTCCTGTTTTCCTATTTTTTTATTGAATTCTCGATTTATGAAAAGCTTTAAATGAAGCCAAAGTAATACTGAATCGAGTATTTTATTGTTAGTTTTAGAAGTAATTAGTGGAAAATAATAGCAATAAATACTGGAAAAGATGAACGCATGGTTCTTATCCTTTTGATCACGCGCCATTTATCACTTTAACTATTTATTTATTTTATGTTCCTTTTCCTTTTTATTACCTTTGACATTTTATTTTTCATAATAGCTCAGTGATAACAATTTCAGCTGATAATTTATTCGCTTACACTTGACCTCAAAATATAACTAAGATTTGTTATGCAGATCATTTTGTTTTATTTTAGTCTCTTTCTGATATCAAAACGTCCCAGTAAAATAAATACATATTTTTGAAAAATTTCAAAATATAATAAAGTTTGATGGCGTGGATAAAGTCAAATACAGTGAATCTTCTCCATTTATCTGAAGATATGAAAATATCGAATGATTTGTTTTCACCTAAAGGCACCTTTAATGTATCCAAAAATAACTAATGGGAAAGAATATTGGATATGACACGTGTGACAATACTTTTGGTTTTCATTATCGTTTGCAAATTGGAAATGATTTTATATTATTGCAATTTTCCACTTTGTTGTCCCTAGGACTATAGCACATTTCAGCAGTGTTTCTGAATTGAGAAATATCAATATTTTAGACGGTCAGTGAGTAGGACGATCGTTGCTTCGACTATCTTGGAACTATAGGTTTGGTTTCTGTCCGTTGGAGAGAACATAGGAAATTAGGCCATCAAGTTTTATTTGTACTTTTCGATAATTTATTCTCTTTATTAAGTAATCTTAATATAGTTAACGAAATTCAGTAGCATGGGTTAGGCCAAATACAATGAATGTTTGAAGAAAGACAGATTACAATGCAAATAAATTCTCGAAAATTCATTTACTATGATTTTTCAATACATTCTTATGCAATAATATTTCTTTTCCAGGTATTCTTTTCCAGGATGGAACTCTCGATTTTGGCCTCCACTTTAGGTCAATGGTAAAGAAGTCGCCTAGGATATAGAATTTTATGCTTCGATATCATTTATTTACTTACAGCAACCAAGGGCGATAGGCGCCAAGGGATTCCATTAATAACTACAAAGCAAGGTCAATGAAAAGAAATTAGTGAGCGGTGTATGATACAAAAGGGCGAACAGTTAATAATGTAAAGAGAAATACACATTAATACATTAAAGGAGAATTACAGAATAACTGGAGTCGAACTGATTGTAATATTGGCAAATAATCGGAGAATAAAAGAGAGACCAAAATCGGAGGATTTAAAAATAGGAAATCTTACTGAAATACACAAAGTATTTATTATCCTTATTGGAGTGCAACAGTACTCACCAGCTATTATTCACTAATATGCAGAAAATCGAATAAATTTATATTTAAATACTATAAAAATATTTTGTACATTCACTCAGTCTTAGCAATAATTAGGGAAAAATCAAAACTATATGGCTTAGATTTATCAAGATTGGGAAGAATTAAATAGGATATGATATCAAAATACAAGATTGTACATGGCTTTTTTAAATTGGATTGAACAGAACACCATATATAGCCTGAGTTCAGGTCTATAATTAGATCTAATAGCCTGAAGATATTAAAGTCTATTCGCAAAAATGAAGGGCCATAGCTTATGGGATACGGGAATAAATAGTTATAAGCTGGCTCGTGCGCCATGCTATTTTTAAAATAAAAATTTTTAAACGAAATTAAGCAAGGTTTTTGTTGTGCTATTATCATGACTTTTTTAAGAGTCCTCACCATTACTGATTAAACTGGCTCCACTCACTTATAACAATGAGAAATATGCCTGGGAGTCCCTCGGCGATAGAAATGCAGGTGAGTCGCCAACATCACCCGGATTTTTGGACAGGTTTATTTCCACGAGGAATCGAACTTCAACATCGGCGCTCACAATTGAGTAAGAATCCACTGAACCATTCTATCCCGCTATTATTATGACTATTGTAATATAAAGGCGCAATAGTGAGTAGAAACGAGTCGAAATAAAGATTTTCCTAATATGAAATGTTTTGTCGTTTTTCTTCTTTTTTTAAATTTTAATATTTAATCTGTCAGTTTATCGAATAATCACTCTTATCTTGTTTTTTTAAAATTTGTTATGCCATAATTTCATGGCTAAATACCTGGTTTGATCATTGAATAAATATTTGTAGGATGAAGCATCTGATGATCTTCGATTTTATCAACAATTGCAGTTTTTATGCTCTCAGTTTCACTTAATTGCTTTTGAGAAGCCCTCGAATCATTTTCTTGAATCATATTTTTATGGCCAACCAGATATTTTTTCAATTTATCCACTGATTTTGCACAATTATCTAAATCATTGACGACAGCAATCTGAAACAAATAAATAATAAAAATTAACTCTTTTACCTCGAAATTCTTAACCTTACTTGAAGGTCGAAAATTCAAGTGAATAAAGAAAATGAAAGTATAAAAATTATTTCGACCTCAAATTTTAGCCCAAAATTCCTTGGATTTTAGGATCCCTAAGAGTAACACTGGTTTAAGCTATTTTCATTTAATATTACGACACTGAATATTAGGTTTCTGTAATTTCTTTATTATGTGTAATATTATGTTATAATCGTGATAACGGCTGATAACAATGTTGGAAAGTTGCAAATGTTTTATATACACCATTGCACCAATATTTTTTTTCACAAAATTAAATAAAGAATCACTTAAAAGAAGCTTTTAACTAACCATTATAATAGTAAAATTATTCGCACTGTTCCTGCTTTCTAGAATTGTTTTTTTAAATCAGAAAGAGTACCTAAAAAAGAAAATTTTTTTAAAGTCATTTTTTGAATCTGTCATTTAAAAAAACTCGCTGCTATCAGTTAAATTATTTGAATCCTGGAAAAGTATCAAAAAATATTTGAAATAAATTCTTTCTCATATTGCATCACCAAACTAGCGAAGCAATCTAATCAGAAATGGTGAATTTAACTAGATTTTGGGGCTGAATGGCTCAGTAGGGAGTCGTTTAATGTTCCCATCGATGCTGGTTTGTTTCCGCCAAACCTTTAAAAAATACGGGTGGTGTCGCCAAATGGCAAGGATTCCACAATTTAGAGCGGTGCCAACAGCTCGAAAATTGTCCTTCAAATCAATGTAAACAAAATTCTCTCTTAAATGCCAATAAGATCGCAATTATATAAATCCATAATGAAATCGAAGTATCAAATCTTAAATATTTTGGATCACTTTCACATCTAATAGCTCAAAAAATAAGATTCCGGTTCGGATAGTTCCAGTGTCAGTGTTTTCTTTTGCCTCCTTGGAATCACCGCAGAATCAACCACTGAAAAAAAGTTCGCATCTATCTTGTGTTGTACGCATAACCTTAGCGCTGAGAGACGCGGCCTACGAGACTGAATGGTGAATATCTGCAAGCCATTTGCTTTTGACCATTTTTGCCTAAGTTACATCCTACGTGCCAGCCAAGTGAATAGAAACCGATTGCATTCACCTTCGATCAAATGATAGGATTCTAAAACTGAATACGGGATTCAAACCAGCAATTTGCTTTATCAGCAATCAATCAACAATTAAAGATCAATCAATGATCAATTGAAGAGTTGGTTGATATGACAGTTTTGTCAGCGCAGAGTTTAATGGCATGTTAGATAGCGAATCAAATATGAGATCCAAATATTATAATAAGATGACATGTAAAGAAAGCTGGGCAAGAACCAGTGGAGTATGAAAGAAAAAAACTTCCGATTCATTGAATGTTTGAAGGAAATAAAAGGGCACGCAGAGGAAGCCTAAAAGAATGGCAGCGCACTTAGACGATGGTGTGGCTTCAGTTACTTTCAGGATTCGACACGAGGCTGAATCTTGGACGTTTTATCCCAGTGAAACAAGTCAAGCTACGAGTTACTAGCTGAAGGAGCCGAACCAATTGGCGATAGAAATACAGGTAAATCATCAGCATCACCTTGTGGCTGATGTAGAATCGGCGCTCCAAAATAAGCAACAATTCATTCGGCCATTTTATTTCCTTCTGCTTTAATCGTGGATATCATCGCGAGGTGCGTCGACCGGATTCGAACTCGAGCCATTCCCGATTCTCAGTGGCGATTATCTTGCCACTAAACCACCTATGCACTGGTTGATTAGGTCTGTTTGACTATAACACAATCCATTCGCAATACGTTGGCCAATATAACTATAATTACGTATTATAGCGAAATAACTGCAAATTTATGCTTCTCTAATTATTTAGCATAGACTGCTTTGGCATAAAGGAAAAAGCACTTTTCATAGCTTAGCTAGCTTTTCATCCTTCCTGTTTCCCACTAGATGTCGAAATCTGATACTTCAAACTCTAATGAACATACGCATTCAGATTTTTCATCCATGAATAAAGAGAGTTTTAAAAATCAGCTTTACGTATTAGAGGTCAATTTATAAATAACAGAGGTCAATTACACTATCGATTTGGCATGGAAGGAATGTGGGATTTGTAAGCGGGGACGAAAGGCAGTTAATTTCTGCAAGGGTGAATTCTTTTGCTAGGCTTTCTCAAAAGATGAATATTATTGTTGGCAAAGGTCATTCATTCTAAGAAATATTCGAGTAGAAATGCAATAAATTAATGCTTCTCTAATTTTTGCAGAAAACGGTATTTCGAGTCCTTCAAATCATTTCCTTTGCATTGATTTCATTG